GGGAGGACGAGGATCTTGATACATAGAGGAGCCTAGAGGGCAGAGAAAGCCTGGTCGATAAAAGACAGGAGCGAGCAGAGAGTTGTCTAGGTGGTCGATATTAGGGTCGGAGGCAACGTGATGGTCGAATATCCAGTACGGGGAGTAGGACTTGAGAGATTGACCTAGATAAGGTCAACTACGAGAGTCTCTAACGGAATTGTCAGAGTGACGTCAGAGGAATCAAAAGGAATATTTTACCCATGTGCAGAGGACACATGTCGAAGAGATATTGGTGCAAAAGATAGTGGCGACGATTGCCTCTGACACACGCACACTGTGTGTGTACGGATGGGCAGGCCCGGGCAGCCAGCTCAGCAGATTCGGGCAGCTTCTAGGGCATGTATCTTACCGCTATATATATGGGTAAGCCTTTCTTGCTCAACACGATCATTCTTTACTTACTTTTGAAAATTGATTGAACAAATACTAACTTTATGATAAAAACCATATTCACTAAATACGTGCTTTTTATTTTGTTGCACGGGAAAATGTTTCTGTATTTTTTTGTGCAGCACTTTGAATTTTTTTAATTTTCTGGTAAAAAAATCGTGAGGGTAGTGGTTATTAATTCTCTTACGTCAACCTCTTATCATGGGTTGATATTTAATGGGTTAACAATTCACTTTTTTTGTTTTCCTTAAAAAATATATATAACTTTTGTTAAAAAATATATATACCTGCCTTTATATTAGAATATCATCATGTTTTAAAAGTATGAATGAATGTCTTGCAATTAAGTACCCTCACCATTTAATTTTAAATACGTTCTTTATTTTCTAGGAAAGTTTTTATTGGGTCCATATAATAACAATTTACAGTGGACAGATTAAGTACACTTATTTGTAATTTATATTTACTTAGTTCATATATCGTTGAGGCATTTGTGTTACGAATATAGGTAATAGTTATATATATATATCCCTATATATATATTTATAATACATGTAATAATTTGAGAAAAATCTCATATTTATCAAACTATAAATAAAAATGTTTATTTAATTATTTTGAGGATAAAGCCCAATTGGAAAGTCGTAAGGTTGTATTCCACAGCCCATGAACGTGGCATAGGACGTGGGGAGTAGTTGGTTCATATGGGACCCACAGTTCGCCACCCTGCGCCACGTGGATGGACGTCGGTACACGTGTACACCGTGCGTGCAACTTCAGTAACCCATTCTCCGTTTCCCTTTGTGACATTGCGGGTGTTACTTACGTGCTCCAATTAGTCTCTATATTTTTTACTTTATTTTGAATTTTATATTATTCCTTATATTAGTAATATAGAGTAAGGCAAAATTGCATTTACTGCCCTGTAACTTCGGGCCTGTTGCAAAACTGGACAGCTTCTTTTGGGTTTTGCATAAATGCCCTGAAACTTGTTAAAATGTGGAACCCGTGCCCAATTTACCTGCAGCTAACCTAAACTAGCCGGTAACTGCTGACTCAATCCGGTTTAGCCGACATGGATCCAACGTGGACGCCCGCGTGTGTGTAACCTAAGTACAATCGACAAAAGCATCGATTAAAACCCAAATTCAGCCCCCAAATCAAAAAAAAAACGCACCTCAAAAACCTAATTTCCAGAACCCTAATTCTTTTCCTTCTTCAATCGATCAAAATTGTTCATTCAACCATTGTTCAT